TTTATGTCTTACTTCCAAGTTCCAATTGGTCACAGATCATTCAGAGCCTTTTTCAAACTGTCTACCACTTATTAAGGATTCACCCAGTCCCTGTTTGCAAGTTTACCCTGCCTTATACAAATTTTGATTATTTTATTGGAATTCTCATGCCTGGCCAAAATCTCCCATGTTCTCTGTTCCACCCATTCTCTGAGAAGCCATTTTTATGCGCTTGCTTTTCTGCTTGCTCTTCTTTCCTCCAGGCCACTGACCTCCATGTCTAGCCTATGTTTGTTCTTCTGGGTTTCCAAGTATATCTCTTTTCAATATTTATCCCCTGACACTTCCTTTGTTACCATATCCAACTCTGGACCCCTCCTTAGGTGGTGTCTAGAGCACCAATGACATCAATGATGCTTCTTTAGTGTCACAGGGTGTGGCCTCAGAGCCCCAGTGACTGATAAGTTAACTATACTGCATCAGACATTTCATGACCAAACAAGTGATTCTCCTGTGAGCCTAACTGCTCATTTCAATGATAACGCCAAAACATCACTGGAGCCCCTTCTTTAGAACTACTTTTGGAAATCTGTGACACCTTATTTTTAATATCCTCAGTAAACTTCTGGTTCAAGATGGTGGGTGAAGCACACACTACAGCCTTCCCTTGTCACCCCAAATCTCTGGAATTGATAGATATTTTTAAAATTCACAACTGAATTATAAAGCAAGCAGAGGAGCCCTCCTTGGGCCAGAAATTCCAGCAGTATAAAAACTGATGGGATCAACCGATAAAGGAAAGAAATCAAAACACATACAGGAGAGAAGAGTCTCCCTACAAAGCAGGACAAAACCCAATGGGGGTCCTCTCCTGGACAGTGGATAATGAAAGCAGGAGAACACTGGGGCAACCAGCAGATTGTGAACTGGCCTCAGGAGCTCCTATATATCTTCTTTCCCCTACCAAGCAGCAGCTGAAGTGGGGCTCTGCCCAAAGAAGCTTCGGATAGGGAGGGTTGGAGCGGGAGATGCAGGATATGCCCAAGCCCAGAAACCTAACTGCTAAGGTATTCTGACTAGTAGCACGTTCCACTCCTTCCTCACTCTTCCTGAAAACAGATTGGAGTATAATCCGCAGCAGAACATCCAGCTTCTTTCTGTCTTTCCCCAAAAGGTGGGCACACAGAAGCAGCCAGCTGACTGATAAGGAATTTCAGCCCCCAAAATGAACACATGATTAAGACTCACCAAACATTTGATGAATGCCAATACCATGGAAGGGAGTTTGTTTCACAAACTGTAAATAAATAAAAGATGAGTTTATACCCAGGGAAAGAGACTTAATGATCAGTCAAAACAGGGCTCTAGAATATGCTGAATTGATAGCATCAGAGACACCAACAGATATTGCATCCATAAAAAATTAACAGATAATGGACATTAATACTTTGATTTTTGAGATATAAATCTGAATGAATGGACCGAAAAGCCAAATAGATAACAGTTGAAGTGATGGCCGGGAGATTCAGTCAAGGAATTATCTTAGAATGTGGCACAAAGTGATAAAAGAGATGGGAAATATAGAAGAGCAGGTAAGAAACATGAAGGATAGATCTGTAAGGCCCAATACTCGTCTAACTGGTGATCCAGAAAGCAAAAATAGTTAGAATGGAGGTAAGGCAGTATTCAAAGAAATATTAGCGGGGGCTTCCCTGGTGGCGCAGTGGTTGAGAGTCCGCCTGCCGATGCAGGGGACACGGGTTCGTGCCCCGGTCCGGGAAGATCTCACATGCTGCGGAACGTCTAGGCCCGTGAGCCATGGCCGCTGAGCCTGCGCGTCCGGAGCCTGTGCTCCACAACGGTAGAGGCCACAACAGTGAGAGGCCCGCGTACCGCAAAAAAAAAAAAAAAAAAAAAAAAAATATTAGCGAAGAATGTCCCAGAATTGAAGAGGACGTCCTAAATTCTCAGCAGTATGAAGAGGTCACATACAGGTATCTCAGCGGGGCCACTTCTTCACCCATTGAAGATGAACTTGATTTGGGAAGCAGTAAAAAGCCATTTGAAGCCAAGTGTGGTGGAAAAGTTGATCAAACTCAGTTCTTATTGACGATGAGATGTAAGTTAAATTAGATGTAAATTTAAAATATTGTTGCAAGGCTCATAAATTAGTTCTGAAGATGCTTGCCTCTACTATTAGCACCCACACAGATAGTTTAGCTAGTAGAATTTCCTGTTTTCTCAAAACTGCCTCTAGTTTCCTGGTATAAGGGTACACATATGCTACTTCCTAGCATAAGAGTATGTAAACAAGTAAGAAGCCAGGGAGTCAAGTAAGAGAGCAATGTATCCTCTCATGTATCCTCTCTCATCATCCCCACCCCTACTTGCAGCTCCACCAGTGGATATTAATGCTTCCCAACATGAATCCATCTTCTTTGGTCTCGTTATCTCCAACCACCTCACTCAGTCCTACCTCCAAGCATTGCCAAAGCCCTCTCTTCTGCTCACCATCAAAATCCTAACCACATTTCAAGGCTCACAACAAGTCCCACCTTTCATACAAAGGCTTGTTTGGCCACATCTCTATGCCAGTATCTCATCATGCTTGTTGATGATATCATGCTTATTAGTTTTTCCTGCTCCTAGCCTGTAGGCTTCCCCAGAGCGGAAAGAGTGCCAGACATGTCTTTTGTGACCTCCGCAGAACTGCTCCAGGTGCCTGTTAAAATGAGAATACCCCCAGGAGAGAAAACAAGCGGAAGGATTAGCCCCCAGAAACTATTTTGGTGAGATGATTTCCTCTGACTGGGGAGAACGAAGTGGGTGGATAGGAAATGTGGGGAAATAACACAGAAAAGGAAGTGTGGGTGAAGAGGGGCCCTAGAGTTGTGTTCATGCCACCTCAGCATCTCACATGATCCCCAATTACTCTATGACACCAGGGTCACAGAATCGCTGACCTCTAGACCACCAAGGGAGCTTAGAGACTACCCCATTTCCCGGATCCTCTGAGTACCCAAGAGAGGTGCGGTGACCTGCCAGCAAGCACACATTTCTTCAGTGACCCTCAAGGACACTACCCCAGTCCAGAGCCTCTGCTCTTACCCGCTATTCCCAGGACTGTCCCTTATTAACCTATGCTCTTGTTGGAGACTGAAGACTAATAGCGATAACGACGTTTATTGAAATCTTACTGTGTGCTTCATATAGCTACTGTGATAAGGCCTCAACATGCTTTAACTCATTTCCTCCTCATAGTTACCCCATATCAAGAAACACTTTTAGTTTCACAATTTTTCTGATGAAGAAACTGAGGCAGAGCTGTAGCAGTAAATGCACACAGTGACAGGGAGTCCATCTGAACCCAGGAAAGCAAATGGCATGGACAAGCATGCAGAAGGACCTTTGAGTTTCCCCTGTCAATTCTCTTCTCATTCTCTCAACCTGCAATGCCTTTCCCTCAACTTGATGTCTTGTAAAATAATACTCCTCCTTCAAGGCCTGCCCATTAGGCCATACCCAACCTTCCCAGGATAATCAATCAGTTTCTCCTCTGTCCTGTCGTTTATGCCTCTGTTTGAACACCCGTAATCTGACATATTAATAGTAATATAGGTGACTCTGTCGGGTCCAAATTAACTCCTTGCGGGCAAGGGCCTCATTTTGTTCATTGCTATATTCCTAGAGCCTAGAACACTGGCTGGGTCACTGCAGATACTACATTCTGGAAGTGAATACAGTAGTCTGCACATGCACTTGCTCTCCATGAGATGGGCTCCTCCGTGGCAGAAGCCCAGAGACCCCACGAGTCTTGAGGCCCACTGAGGCTAAGTGCAGCCATGGACAGTGTCAATGTGAAGTGGGCCACAGATGGGATTTCAGGGATCAGATGTCCCCCATTCTCCCTGTAAATATTTCTCACTGGCTGCATAATCTACCACCATATCATCAAGGCTTCATCTGTAGATTTGGGGTCCAGGTGAAAAGTTAAATGCCCAAAGGAAAGTTCATTCACTTGCAACCTGGAAATCAAACTCTACTGGTCAGTGAAGGTGGTTTTGATCTGGAAAGAGCCTCTGGGACATTGGGAACATGAGGTGGAAGGTGGATGAAGGAACCTGACTTGGGAGTTGTTAATTTTAAGTCTGTGAATGAGCTGCAGTGGGTCCAGAACCCAGTACTGTATTCAAAGCATACTGATTACTGAGTGTGTTTCTCCACAGCTTTCATTAGATTCTCAGAATGTGTCTGGGGCTCTAAAGAGAATGAGAAGAGCTAGAGAAGATGGCCGTTTGCACCTCACGTTCCCTGACATCCCAGATGAGCTCAGGGCACCTGGGCCTACAGATGCCACTGGCTGGCCAAAGGCAGCGGTGCAGAAGGAAAGAACCAAGAAAGGTGAAGAGGGCAAAGGCATTGGGGAGGGCTATGAGGGGAAGCTAAGACAAAGGGGAGGAACGTTGGGCATCAGATACACAGCTAGAAGAGGTCATGTGGCCCAATACCCTTGTTTTACAGATAAGGAAAGGAGTTCCAGAGAGGTTAAGTAACCCCAGCATTTGGGGTCAGCGGGTGGCTCCCTTGCCAGAGATTGGCCCTGCTCTAGGCCATCTCTGTGGCCTCACAGTTTGTTCATTAAACAACAGATAAGCTCACAAGGAGAGGCCAGTATTGCTGCTGTTATCTGGCTCTTTGGGTGGCAGCTGCAGGCCTTTTCATTGCTGGAATTCGGCATTTGGAATCAGAGATAGGGTAGGGAAAACATTCCTCTGGGTACATGTGAACACATCATTCTTTGATGACCCCAGGCCTAAAAAGCTTAACTTGCCAACCACTCATTCATTCATTTCACCAACATTTACTGAGCACTTACTAGGTACAGGAACTCATGGTAGCCTCTTTGGGGGCCCCAGAGAGGAGTGAGATGTGAGGCTTTGCCTTGGAGGAACTTGTGCTGTGGTAATTATGAAAGGACGTCCCACTGCAGAGGCAGCTGGGGCTTCTGTGCAGGAGGTGGGTTTGTTGCTGCCCTTAGAAGGACTTAATGACATCCAGGTAGGTGAGCCAAAGCAAGGTCACTTGGGACCTCGGTGTGGTAAATCTTGGATACCAAGGCTCAGGTATGGCTCTGAATCTCGCCGTAAGAAAGAGGTTCCGTGGCCTCTCTCATTGGTGGTATTGGGGTTGCCCTGAGTAGCCCCACTTGAGAACCTCCCACTGTTGCCCCCAGAGTCATGGAGTCACATAACTCCATGTGCCAGAGAGACTTTGAAGGCTGAAGAAAAAGTGGTGCCCAGTTCCAGGGGTTTCACTTTCACCTTCATCTCAGTGTCCTGAGGTAGAGAGAATTCACATCCTCAACCAGGGCTCAGGGAGGCTTTGGCAATGAACAAAGTCACAGGGCTGTTTAACCACAGAGCCGAGACTTGAACTCAGGTCCATGACCCAAAATCCTATTGCTGTGAAACTGTCACTTCTGCCTTTTCTCACCTCAGGTTAAAAGCCAAAACTGTACTGAAAAATCCCACTACTGATACCCTCTGATGCCAGACAACATGTGAGATCTTGTACAAATGAGTTGAAAAGTGAAGTGGTAGGAAATCTCTTAGAGAAATGACTGCTGCTGTGGGAACGATACCCAGCCTGGGTATCATTTCTGCCTCTCCATGAGACAGGCTCAGCCTGCTAGTGAGAAAAAGTATGGTTTGGATGTCAGGCAGCTCCTGTACAATAGGCTCTGAAGGCCCCATGGTGGGCCTCTGGTCTTTCAACATCCCCTCCCCTTGTCTCATGGCCTGAAAGGGCCATGATCTAGAAGGCTTTTCCAGTGGTCACTGCTGATTATACCTGAAAACAAACTCTCTTGGGACAGAATATCAGATACAGCCCATTGGGAAGACAACGGATTAAGTATCTGAGGGACAAGAGGGCACCCTCAGAGGGGCAAAGGTGAAAACTGAAGTAAAAGGGCAGCCAAGGCCTGCTGGTGGTTGGCCAGTAAGCAATTGTAAAGAAAAGCTCATTTCCACAGACATGCACTGAAGTCATGGGACCTCAAAGATGAGTAAGAAAGCCCCAGTCCTGCCTGATGCCCAAGAGCTTTGGGCCTGTATGCTCACGTGAAATGTGGATTTTGGCAGCCTGTGCATTTACCGGAGAGGGAAACTTGCCTTTCATGCACCATTAATAGTCTTCCCTATGTGTTTGGAAAGCTAGTGGCTGAGGTTTCCCACTGGTGCCCTAAAGGGGAGTCGAGGCCAACCACACAATGTTTACCCCACCGGATTTCCCTTGTTGGTTTCCACAAGTTCTCCTGCTCCAGAATAAGAAATTCCCAGGGACTCACTTGGAAGTGTGTTGGGAAAAATGACTAAACCACCAGTGTCATGACCCCAATGCCAGGGCATGGAAATCAGATAGTAGAATGTGTACACAGTAAACCTTTCCCACTTTTAAGTGACCACTGGCATGTGACCTTACTTCCCCAGATCTCATGTGGTTGGTTCAGTTTTCAAGTGAGAGAACTGTACTACTGGAAGATCTCGGGAGATTTTTTCCAGCTCTGACAACCTGTGTTTCCACAATGTAGGAGTTCATGGGCAGTTCTGCCTGTCACCTCAGAGACCTGTGGTCCTCACATGATGTCCTGGCTTCCAGAACCTTCCTAGGAACTTCCCCTACATTCATGCCTGAATGTAGCACCTTGCTCAGACAGGTTCCTTAATAAATGTTTGTTTAATGAAAGTCTCCACGACTCTGAGTTATAGAGTGACTTGGCAGTCGAAAGCAAGAGTATCCCAGGACCCATGTCAAAGGGAAAGCAGGAGGGGTATTTACGCCAGGGAAGAGAAGGCTCAAGGAAGGCAAGGAAGAAGCAGACCTCTCCTGGGAGGCTTGCGGGGCAGAACCAGCAGAGCTGGGGGAGACATGAGAACTCCCAGGTACGATGCCTGTGGTTCAGTGAGGAGTCAGAGTTTGGGTAAAGAGAGCCAAGAAATAAGGCTGACTAAGGATAAATCTGGAAGCCTTGCAGTAACTGGAAGCAAAAAAAGGGTTTTTAACAGGGAACTGATGTAATGAAAACTGAGTTGGAAAACAATCTGGCAGCAGTGTGCAGGATGAACTGAAAGGGAAGGTCTGAGAGGAAGAACATCAGAGAGGTTACAATGGGGAATAAAATCTGGACAGAGGTGGAAACAGTACAAACTCAGGCAACAGGTTTGTAGAGAGCATATGCAAAGGCCTGGACACTGTTCTAGGAGCGGGATACGGTTGTGAAGGAGGTAGACCCAGATCCCCAGCCTTGGGAAACTCATCTTCCAGGAGAGGAAAGAGTAGGAAGGAGATGACTTTTAAGAATTAATGCCTCATTTTATTAGGTAAGGGATTTGAGGAAACATACACATCCAACTCAGAAGGATAAATATAAACGATTTAATCTATTCTCTTTAACATCCCTTTAGATGAAACAATGAATTGTGTAGGGCTGATCCTATAAAGTCACTCATAGTCAGCTTAAGGCCTGACACCAGAGCATGACTAGGCACAGGCAGCTGCAGAAAGGACTCCCACACCAGGTCCAAGCGTGCAGCTCCTTGAAGTTTGTGGCACTTGATTCAGATAATTAGTAATGGCTGCGAATGGGCTGGAGTCTGGATCGGGCCCACGGAGAGGTGTTTTGTTTGGCATCATACCTGAAACTTTGAGAGGAGTCCTGGGCTCTATAACGTCTACCCATCTCCACAGCTGTGTCACCCGTGTAGCCCTTAAAGTCATTAAACCTTGGGAATGCCAAGAGTGGAATGAGGGTCCACCAGGAATCCCCAATTTGGGGGGAGTTTTCCCAACAGGGGCTTTTGAAAACAATTGGGTATTAGAGATTTCGAGGTAAGTTTTGGAAAAAGTCTAGAAGGCAGATTATGGATTTGTCTTCAACTGACCACTGAGAATAGTCTTTGATCATTAATGGAGCAGAGGGTAGGGTTATGGTCCATTACAAAAATTAAGATATGGGCCTGAAGGTAAAGGAAAATCTTGTTCAGAGACAAAACATTTTTAGGGAATATCCCTAGAACTTTGTGATGACATTTTTTAAAATTAATTTATTTTATTTATATTTGGCTGCGTTTGGGTCTTTGTTGCTGTGCGTGGGCTTTTCTCTAGTTGTGGTGAGTGGGGGCTACTCTTTGTTGCAGTGCACGGGCTTCTCATTGCGGTGGCTTCTCTTGTTGAGGAGCACAGGCTCTAGGCACATGGGGTTTAGGAGTTGTGGCACACGGGCTTTAGGAGTTGTGGCACACGGGCTCAGTAGTTGTGGCGCACGGGCTTTGTTGCTCCGTGGCATGTGGGATCTTCCCGGACCAGGGCTCGAACCCGTGTCCCCTACATTGGCAGGCAGATTCTTAACCACTGCGCCACCAGGGAAGTCCTATGATGACATATTTAGGCTGGGATGGCGGGTGAATATTCCTAGGGGGTAGGAAAGTAAGGGGAAGGGGTAAGCAAAACAACAACAAAAAAACCCCCAATATTTTGAAGTTGAATGACTGGGAAAATGATGTATGAGAAGGTTGGGGTGTGAGGAGGAGGTTAGGAGGAAGTCAGTGGTTTGGGTTTTAACCATAAGTGTGGAGTGATGGTGAGGCATCTAAGTGCTGATGTTCATAGGCACTTGAGATATGGAGTTAAAGAAAGAGGATTGGGCCAAGAAGGGAATTGGGGGTGGGGCACCCACACAGCAGCAAGAGCTGAAGTCAGGAAAAGAAACGAGTTCTCAAAAGGAGTATGAAGCAGAGGGCTAAGCTCTTAGGCTGGGAAATGCTCAGGGTTCAGGGACTGCAGGGGAGCTAGGAACAGGTACAGAGGAATAAGAAGGAGCAATGGGAGAAAAGGAAAAGCCTATCACATCAGCCACGGGCAAACTGATACAAGAAGGAGAAATGGCCAAATGGGTCCAAAGCCACAGACTGAGATCAGAAGAACAAAGATGGAGGGGGAAAAAGTATGGATTAAGAGGTGGGAAGGTTGTATGTAACCTCTGAGGGACTGGTATCATGAGTGTAGTGAAAGCAGAAACCAGAAATTAAGAGGCAATGGGTATAAAGGAAATGGTAACAGTAGGCATGGGTTATTTATTTGGAAGAAAAAGAAGTTAACTTGCAAAGAGGAGAGGAGGAAGCCAGAGATACAGAAGGAAAATGAGGAGAGGCCTGTATCATGGCAGCCAGGAAAGGAACCAGGCATGGAGTGAGGGGAAGCAGAAAGTAGTTTGGGTTAAAAGAATGGGCTTTCAGCTCCCACAGATTGGTGCTCACCTCCCACTTTACCACTTGCTTTGACATGCTGAGGCTCAGTTTCCTCATCTGTAAAATGGAGGTATAATGTATTGAACTCATTCCAGAAGGTCGTTGTGATGACTGAGCCCTAATGCATGTAGAGCACTTGGTGAAACGTTCCAGGTGAGAGTGAAACTGATGCTACAGGCATCAGGTCTTGGCCACACTCTTCAAGGGACTGCTGACACCACATCCAGGTTGTTTGTTCCCCTTGTAAAACAGCAGTAACAGTTGTCATAATATTTTTTTAAAAAGAAAAAATTACTTTTTGGAGATTCGTGCCTTTTGGACATTCTCCAGCTTCTACCTTCCTCTCTGTCTCTATTATTGTAGCATCCCAGCCATGCCTCCTTGTTCATTAGAGATGCTGGCACTTAGCCATGATCAGCCTCTTCTGGTCTCCTGATAGCTCTTGGGCCAACTCTCCCCAGCTTTCTCTGTAAACTCACCTTTTCTTACAAGATTTATCCTCCTCTATTCTGTCATCAAATTTTTGTGTCCCTTAAGACACCCTTCTCAGTCTATACAGTCTCCATAGCTCATATGTCAGCTCAGACACCTCCCCTGAATTATAGACCGTATATCACCACTTGGATGTTCCAACAATTCCTCCAGCTCAAAATTTCCAAAATCTAAAAGAATTCTCCACACCTCAAAACTGGTCCAGGCTCAGAGAACGGCACACCACCCCTCTAGGTACACAGTCTGGAAACTTAGGAA